CATCAACCACATGCCCTAAACCTCTAAACCTACAGGGTAGATACTTCCTACATGATCCGATCCGACAGGTAGCCAGCATTCGATCCTCTAAGAGACCGCACTGCCAGATTGAAAATTGCTTTGCAATCTAACATCTTGCAAGTGCTCAAGTGGCTCTTGATGTAAGGATTTCCGAAAGGCCACGAATGCTTGCACCACGGTCATACAGAAAAAAGATCCTGCCTTGATTTTTGTGCGCGTATGCTGTTGCTTGCAAGAACCACTCTGCTTCAAGCCAGCAGAGCAGGAGTTTCTGTGATCAAACCATGCACAGCAGTAGTGGTAGTAGGAGGAGGAGGAGGATCATTATTCTAAAGCCCCCCCACTCCGATTCCTGGCGCTAAGAAGCCCCAGACCCCGAGCAGGATGGTACCCGAAGCTAGCTGCTTTCGACCCTTCTTATCAAGGATCAGGAGGCTTGGGAAGTAGGGTTTTGCATCTGGTCACTCCAGCTGTGTTTGTTTAAGGACGGGGTGCTTCAAGAGGCGATAAGCAAACAAGGAGAAAGGAGCTTGGGGTCTGGGATTCGGTGAGGTTCGAGCTCAGGGCTGCGATTTCGGTGGTTTAGATGTGAAGTACTAATGCTCCTATCAGGACGACATTGACCTCCAGCACATCATCGCTCAGGGGCGACTTGGGCTGATAGGGCTAAGATGTATATTACAGGCGCCTTAATAATTAGAATCGGGTTTGGAGGTACATTATAGTATAATTAGAATAAGGAGCCCCCCAAAATCCAATTCTAATTATTCAGGCCCTACATTGCTCGCTGAACAGTAGTCCGCAAGACTCGGCACCGGGATGTCATAAGAAAAATTGTTCATGGACCCAAGGGACGACTTGCAGAAAGTTACCGGCACAGGTCTGGGCACGCAGCCCTAAAATGCCCTAAACCCCACAAAGCTCTATCGGGGTCCACCCATCTCCACCCGTCATTCCTGCACGTCTCAGGCATTGGTACGTCAGTGGCTACCACATGTCCATGCACCACCCCCTCTCTGAGGCGCTTCGCTGCAAGAACAAGACACCATGGCAATAGGCTGGCACCAGCTTCAGCAGAGTATACTCATAGAATGGCATCGGCCCTGCCCTATTCCAGTTGTTTCGGCCCCGTCGTTGTATGGTGTAGCACGTCCTTCCGTAGCACTCGCCGTATAGGCATGGGGCACCAGCCGCAAACCCCATACCCTAGAGTATCCCCATTCCCGAATGAATAATACAGCCCTGAACCGTCAACCCTAAGCCCTGAATCCTAAATCTTGCATGTTACGACCTAAGCTGTCCAGGTTTGTCAGTGGGCCCTTTTGCCCTTTTCGCGGTCTTGGCTTCCTTACAGGGGTAGTTCTCTCAAGTAAGGTCCCTTATCGGGTCGTCTAAATTAGGGCCCCTTGCTAGGTCCCCAATCTAGACGGTACCCTTATAAAACGGACCCTAAAAACCCGGACCCTAAGTGAAAAAACTACCCATATATAGTGCGACAAACAGGAGTCCTTGTTGTTCCGGTGTCAATCGGGATCCGAGCTCGCAAATCTGAACGTCTTGAAGCCGTACTTCCCCAAATCCGCAAAACAGATCAGCCTTTAGGGGGTGAGGTTAGGGGGGTTGAGGGTTGAGGGGGTTTGGAAGGTCTAGGGGCTTAAGGGTTTTACGGGGTTTGGGGTTTAAGGGTTCAGGGTCAGGGGTGTAGGGTTTTGGGGTTTAGGGGAACTTGGAGCCTGCCTCTCATGAAATGCGACAGCAACAGCCACACCCCGGAAGCATCACCCCAAATCCCAAACCTTAAGCCTTATAATCTGCTGAATATGAATACTGTGGAACATTGCCTGTAGACCCCTTCTTATAAGGCCCATATACAGCTTCAATACGGCATGTGTATTGCAGAGCCTTTGTAGAAGTGCGCAAACTCCTCCGAGGAGACCATGCCGCTCTTCACCGACCAGCACTGCGAACAGGCGATGCACCTCGCTCGGAACAGCTATTGAACGGTTTAGGGTTTAGGGCTATTGGCGGAGTTGCTAAACCTTTTAGGGTTTAGAGTTTCGGGATTTTGCGTATTTCAGGCCTGCCCTCAACCCCCCCCGAGACCGTGCCCGGAACCTCGAAGTTCCCGTTTAGGCTAAACTCCTGGGCCCTGAACCTAAAATCCTGGGGTCCTTCGTGGCAGGATGGTTTAGGGGTTTAGGGTTTAGGGGTTTAGGGTTTAGGGCCCCAGGTTCAAAAACCAGGAGGCTTTAGGAGGTTCGAAGATCAGGGCTCAAGCAATGCTCTTTTAGGCATAGTTACCAATACAACTTTGGGGGGGATTCCTTGTTATAACTCTAGTATAGTGGGCACCAAAACCCTATTCTATTTATTAAGGCCCCTACATTATTCCATCATGTTCCTTGGTGAAGCTATGCTACGATGCCACACAAGCAACGGTTCTATGGTTCGACCTTTGGAGTTGGGAAGGCATCAAGCCTTTGCATGCGCACTTCATGCAGGTCTGCAGTTCCTGAATCGGAAACGTTAGCGTTTGGGGCTTAAAGCTTAGGGACCGTCAGCTGTTTCTTTTGATGGCTTTTGTTGAATGACGGAGGCGGGGATGATGCTTCATTCGATGTGTGAGGACAGTAAGCCGTTTGTCTGAACACCATTTTTGCCACCACTGCCTTCATTGCTGCTAGCTTGATGCCACTCGAGTACTGCTGTTCCGTAAGCCATGCCTTGGCTTTCCATACAATCGCAAGCCCAAGTCCCCTCGGACAGCGGCGCGGTCAAGCCTGCTTTTCCCTCGTAACTAAGTCCCATGCCCTTAGCCCTATGTAAGGCCAACGACTAGGTGTGGTTGTGTAGGATTTGGGGCTGGGTGGCTTCAAGGTGTTTTTAGGCGACGCTTGGGTAGGTATGGGAGCTTGGACTGCAGGAATTTTGGGGCAATCCAGGATGATTGCCCCATAAAACCTCAGGACTCAAGCCCAGAAAGCTGAGTCCCTGAACCCTAAACCGTAAACTACTGGGGTTCCGGGTTCAGGATTCAGACAGTTCCCACGTCTCTGAGGTTCCGTATCGTGGTGAAGAACAACCTCACGATGAGCGACCTGATCAGCAAGATTTCATTGGTACCTCAGAAAAGGTATATGGGTCCCGCTTTTGGGTCCCTATTATAATAAGGCACCTAATATTTCAGATTCCCCCAAAAGGGGCCATAATTTTGACAACCACCCATATGTACCAGTCCATTAAGGTCATTTCCCTCCTTAAAAGGTACCTAGGACCTTTACGAGCACCAGGAAGCCTTGGATCTCTTGTCCCAGCTTCGCTTCAACACCCTCGTTTCTTACCTTTGGTTAGTAGGGAATGGAAGAATGGTAGTAACAGTAGCTATAGTTGTACCCCATTCCTCCATTCCCTACTAACCAAAGGTAAGGTTTTGCCGTGACACTTCGCTCTCTCTTGCCCACCCCCTAAACCCTCGACCGAAACATAAACCGCACCTCGTGTGGTTGAGTCTCCGTGTACTCCGAGGCCGGAGCCCTCTTTCGGAACTTATCCCGGCCCTCTGAGCTGCAGGTGGTAGCGGCAGGTACCATCTGATCACCCACCATCATTCTCATTTGTCCGCGGAACTTCCGGCATTCCCCGTGATCCCTAGGAATGGCAGCGAACTTGATGGATGAGATCAAAGCAGCGGTCAACTTCCTGAAACTTGGCGAAAGCTGGGTGTAGACTTGAGAAGTGTTTTTGGCTTTCTACGGTGTAGCAGAGGTGTTGCAGAAGGGCTTCAGGAGTTTGGGGTCCTTAGCGCTTAGGGTCCTGAGGTCACGAGTTTGCGGTAGGTATCTGAATGCGTTGGCACATGTTGGTTTCCTTCAGCCCCAACCGAGACGTGCATCAAGGGCAAGGTTATGACTGAAGCTTCAAACAGTAAGCAGCTCCACCTGTGGGTTACGAGGCGGCAGAAGTTTTTGGGTTGTTTGGTTTTGTCAGGATTCGTGCAATGGTCCGGCTAATCCGGCTCGTTGCAGCATAGTCTGATATCAATCGTGCTAGACAGCAATCAGTATGCTAAGAACCATACTTTGTACTCATGACAATGGCAGAGCTTCCTCCATATAACATATTATAATATGTACTAACATAAGTATAGCATAGTATAACTTAATATAACATAAAATGTGCTGTATACGAAGGTACTATAGCATACTATAATATAGTATACCACAGTCCTGCTGCCGGCATTGAGGACATCTCACGGCAAAGGCTTTACGCACCGGAAGCCCAAGAGACACTTCGCGGCAGACGCCTACGGGGGTCGCGTACTTTAGGGGCCTGAATAAAAATACCTATACTATTGTGGAGGTTCCTTTCAAGGGTTCCTTTCAAGGGTTCCTTAAAGGCGTTTATAAGTTATAAGGGATCCATAGTAAGGTTCTAGAAGAAGGGTTTAATAATTGCCTATACTGTTTATAATAACAGTATAACGGGCCCCAAAAGCCTATGCTCATTATTAAGGCCCCTACATGATCCAGCTCTTCTAATGCTGTTCTGTATACCCTTCTCCAGGCCTTGCTAGATTCACTTAGGCGTGGCATCAGCTTCCTCTTACAAGCAATGCTGCCGCTGGTAATTCGTGATTGGCTGTCCCATGGTATGCTGTTTCCAGGATTGTATTGTTATTGATCCATTCTTATTGGGTGCCTCACAGGCAGCCTTGTCTTAGTCATTTTAGTCCCTCGCAACCTGGCGTACTTCGGGACCCTGAATGCGAAAACCGGTGCAGAGTCTGTTATCTGACAGACTCTGTCAGGTTCAGCCTTCTGGTGGTTTGATTTTGGTGCCTATGGAGAACCAACCCAACACCCTCTTCTTCTTGTATAGAATATTACTGCAACACGTGTATAGCGCCAAAATAGAGCCCTTAACCACGAGGAAAGACATGCTTGATTGGCTCGGGATTCAATGTAATTACAAGGCCGATCTTTTACCACCCGGCTTCTAAGTGAAGTGATGTTTGGAGTTTAGGTGGTTTACCTCAGGAACCGCGGGTCAGAGCAAAATATTTAATCCCAGACACAACCCCTGAGCGCCCAAAGCCGTAACTTCCAAGAGCAAGCCGAAGTATGTTATCCCAGACCCCTAAACCCCAAAACCTTGACCCCTGACACACCCCAAACGCCTACACAAAATCCTAAACAATCTACAGTAAACCCCATAAAGTGGGAAACAGGATTAAGGTCAAACAGTGCTTGGATTTCCCGTGCATTACTCTTAAGGATTGACGCTATGGGGGTTCCAGTTTTTTGGGCTTCTACAATAGCCCTAGTGTGCGAGACCCAGGAATCTCAACATGCAAGCAACTCCCTGTTCCTCGGACTGCAAAGAGACAGGGAAGAGGTCGGGGCCGGGCAACAACCAAGAGCACAGATATCCCCCTTAATAGCAGATTATGATATACATATATATAATAAGTTATAGCATAACATACTAGATCATGATATATTCGAACATGATATCATGACCTAGCGTAATATTGTATAGTATAGTCTGATATGATAGGATGCAACATAACACAATCTAGTGAAACATAGTAGGATGTAGTACCTTTGCGGGTATGAGCACCATGTAGCAGTCCTCACTTGTCTCGCAGCCGCTTCAGAAGGGATGAGGTCCCCGAATACGGAGCCTGGGCCGCTAGATACATAGGAGTTTCCGAAAATTGGGGGGGAGATATACGTTATTTTGGGGTCCTTACAAAAAGGGTCCAATTAGGGTACTATATTAGGGTCCCCTATTGTCGGAAACTCCCACATAGAACCTTCAGAACTTTCAGAACCGCCCCTCCCGTATTCGCTACACTCAACCCCAACTCCTAAGCTAAACATGTGAGTGCCGAAGTCGCCTGCTCCTTGAGCATGTGCAACTATGTTGACTGCGACCCTTTTCCCCCAACCCCTAACTAACTGGACCTGAAAGTAGGCACAATAATGGCCTTTCGTAGATGGTGGGCCATTATTTTCTGCACTTCAGGGGGTTTGGATGTATAGTAAACGGGTGAGGGTTTGTCTGCCAAGACTCCGAATTCCTGAACCCCTCTCTTCGAATGTAACCTCGTAGGTTCCGTACACGGCAATGTAAACCTCTCCTTCTCTTGAAAAGGATTGTATCAGCAATCCTCGTCCCTGGTACTAAGACCCTTTAACACAGCGGCAACGGGATTTTCTTGATCAGGGATATACGCACCCTATAGCTTGGTACAGCGCCCAAGAGTCATGTGCTTGCTACCAACGCTCCCTGCCGACAGGCGTGCTAGACAGCGACCAGCTTCACCAAGTCATCTTTTGTGAATATGCCTCTCGGAAGCTTTTTGGAATGCTTTTGTTTTTTGCCACTTGCAACACCAAGCCTTCACCCAGCGGGCACGTGTTGTCTTATGACGCTAGGTCGGTCACCATGACGCACTTCCTCTGCAACCCAATACCGGTAAGATCTACACCCAGATCCTGAAGCCTCAGCGGCCATGAACCCCAGCTAGGTACAGCTCTCAAGCGTGAGCCCAAGTTTTAGGGGACTTGCTGGGCCGACTCCAGCGATCCTGGTGATGTGCCGCGCGCCCGATTGATTTTGTAGGTTGGGACCCGCCTTTGAAAAGAGCTCGCGGTGCAACTTTGCCAGGCCAGGTTCGTATAGTGTAGGGGCCTTAAGAATTAAAGTTACACTGGGGTTTGGGAGTATATACTAATGGTATAGGTATAGTAAGAATAACATTGGTAATTGTTTAGGCCCCTATGGTAAATGGACACCCTTCATGCGGCCCCAAAGTTGGCGCTGTGCTACGAAGCAGGGGCCCTCATGCAACAAAATTTGCACAGCCCTTGAACGTTCATCCCTGATCCGTGAAGCCTGAAACGGACAGGATTCCTGAGGCAAAAATCCCATACTCCAAGCTCGGAACCTAAGAAGCTCTACGCCTTGAAACCCTGCTATAGGGGCCTTGACAGTAATTGCCTATACTATTTTGGGGGTTCCTTCTAATAAGTATAGTATGATATACCCCAAAATTCTTTTCTCATTATTAAGGCCCGAGGCGAGCACACCATGTTTGGAGCTGAGAAGGGCCCGAGTCTGAAGCCTAGGTTCCGGGGTAGTTCCCTTTGCCCTTTTTTGTTTAGGGTCGGTTTAGGGTGTAGGGTTTCTCTTACTAAAGCTGAATATTCGGAAAAAGGGTACCCTTATCAGAAAGGGGCTGCTGAGGAACCTAGAAGCCCTCTAGCTTCATTCCCAGTCACCAGGTGATGGTGGCAGAAGGTACCTCAGCAGTAATGTAGGAACTGATCTAAGAAACCTTGGGCCTCTATAAGGGTTCCTGATAATATGAATCCTATTATTTTGGGGTTATAGGCCCAGGGTTTCTTAATCAGGTTCCTACATTAGCAGGGTGGTGCTTTCGGGTTATGGCCGGGGCTCGGCTGTCTCGGGGTCCACGGTCGTGGTCGTGTCATCTCCCTCGTGTTTACTAGGGAATGGGGGAATGGATCTCTACAGTAGTCCCCATATACTCCCCAAGAATAGTCTCCATAACCCATTCCCCCATTGCCTACTAAGAACCTCACAGTCATTCGGGGGCTCCGAAGCCAGAGGTCCATATCATCCTCCCAACCTGAAAGCCTAAACCCACATCCATATCACGGACCTTATGCTTGGACCTTGTTCAGCGGCAATCAAAGGGTCTAAGACTCCGAACCCTCACGCCTTAGTTCATCACAGCCCTAAAATCCCAATCTTGGCGCACATGGAAACGTTGCTCGCCGCAGATTTTTCCTCAGTTTCAAGATGCCGGCGACAGAGAGGAGATCGGTATCGGAGTAAGACTCCCTCAGCCCTGAACCCCGAACCAAGGAGAGTCGGAATCCAGTCGTCTCCAGATTCCCAGGTTTCAGCACAATCCCTGGATTCGGGTAGAAGACTAGGGATGTTTCCGCAAATTACCGGAACCTTATTTCGGAGTCCCTATAATAAGGATCGTACTCTACCAAGGTCCCCCAGTTTCGGACATTCCCATATTCCTGTAGATACGATGTACCCAAGCTCAGCCATGTTCCTGAAGATCCAGCGCCTTTGGCTTCCGTTGACCACGTGCATGGTGGTTTGAGGGTACAGGGTTCCCTAAACCCTAAACCCTAAACCCTACCCCAACTACCGGCTAAAATACCTCAAGTACCCGCCATTAAGGGCCATAAGGCCTCGACTAACGGGCCCTTTTAGGATCCTGGTTTGGGCTTCAGGTTGAAGGTTCAAGGCAAGCGGGTTGCCGGGGAAGGTCGAGTAGCTATGCTGCCGCAGGCGTGTCCTTTTTGTGGGAATCCGTTTTTCTTCATGCTGCTGTGCCGTTAGAACATAGCATAGTATAGTAGAGTACAGTATAGTAGAGTATAGTAGAGTAGAGTATTATAGCAGCCGACCCTGGGGTCGAGAAGAGCAGCCAGATGCACGGTATGACCATGTCTGCCTTTTTCGTCTCAGGCCCGGGGGAGTTCATGGCCTTGCTATCTCAAGGCCATGGTGCTGGAAAGTCATGCCATACAGTCGGAACCTTCATTGTCATGTAATCGTTTTCAAGCCTAGCTCGCAGTGCTTCGGCACCTATCTTACCGTAAGAACCGTTAAAACCATGGACCTCCCTGGGCAGCCGGTGGCGGCGCACTCGCTCGCTGATCTTTTTGATGCAGCGCTGCAGGCCATTATACGGGGTCTAATTTATGGTTTCGCATTCTAGGGCCTTGTCATAGTTTGATAATGGATGTAGGGTTGTTTGAGTTTGCTTCTTCAACGCGGAAAGGTTGACAATTCGCTGAATCAATGGTTTCGCAGGGCGCTGGTAATCTAAATACTCTGGAGGCTGCATGCCGGACCTATACGACGGCCCTTGGTTTAATTACCGTTTTGTCCTGCAGCCTCTGTACTTTAGGGGCCTGAAGAATAAGTATTGTTTAGGGTTCCCAAATGTAACTATACTATGGTGCACCCCAGAACCCAATTCTCATTATTAAGAACAGTTGTTCGGCCAAGCAGGCTGACGACGGCAGAATCCCAGAAGAGAGCATAGTTTAGAACAGCCCCAGCCATAACTTGATCACTGATCCCTGAAGGAGGTTTGTGGTTTAGGGTTCACAGAGGATGGAATGGCTGAAGCTGAAGGGTTCAAAGACTTTGGGATGTAGCAGGATCAGACTGGCTAGACTTAACTATTCATTCGCAGTTGCCGGAGTCATTCTGCCCCAAACTCCACACTCCCAGGCGCTTGAACCACGAACCTTCAACTTTTGAACCCCTGGAAGCCAGACCTTGGGACCGCCAGGCCCTCAACCCAGAAGCTGAGCTCGCTGCCCTTGAACCCCGGAGCGATACAGAGGCGCTTTGAATCTGAATAGAGACTTAGACCTGGTCCACGCGAAAAACCTTGAAACCCTCGAAGCTTCAGCAGCTCTACAGACAAGACAGCTTGAGACTCTTCGGAAGCATGTTTCTGTTTTGTTCTATGGGCCATAAACTAAAGGAGGATGGGCTTTCTAAGGGTTTTGCGCATTACGCCCTGAGCCCCAAAATCTGGCCGTAGGCGCCCACACCTTCGTCGAAGCGGCAGCAGCTCCAGCTGAAGCGCCAGGAGAAACTAGAGACCTTCTTGCAGGCCCTTTGGATTGGTTATATGATTATCAATATCATTGCTAATGTCATTGTTTTGGGTTAGTAAAAATCACTCATGGTTTTATTGTTACAACTTCTACTATGCTTAGTAGTACATCATTATTGTTGCTCTTCGTATTATTGGCCCATTATCAGTAGCAGTACCATTATCATCATGATTAGTAGTTGTAGTATTTGCGTTGCTGCTTTTGTTTATTACTGGTGATGTCCTTGTTGTTACTATCTATCATTAGTACTATCATTAGTATTAGTGTTAGTATCGCTAATTTCTTGTTATGACTAGTAGTAGTAGTAGTAGTAGTAGTAGTAGTAGTAGTAGTAGTAGTCGTCGTAGTCGTAGTCGTAGTCGTAGTCGTAGTCGTAGTCGTAGTCGTAGTCGTAGTCGTAGTCGTAGTAGGAGTTGGAGTTGGAGTTGGAGTTGGAGTAGGAGTAGGAGTAGGAGTAGGAGTAGGAGTAGGAGTAGGAGTAGGAGTAGGAGTAGGAGTAGGAGTAGGAGTAGGAGTAGGAGTAGGAGTAGGAGTAGGAGTAGGAGTAGAGTAGTAGGAGTAGGAGTAGGAGTAGGAGTAGGAGTAGGAGTAGGAGTAGTAGTAGTAGTAGTAGTAGTAGTAGTAGTAGTAGTAGTAGTAGTAGTAGTAGCAGTAGCAGTAGCAGTAGCAGTAGCAGTAGCAGTAGCAGTAGTAGTAGTAGTAGTAGCAGCAGCAGCAGTAGTAGTAGTGGTCGTGGTCGTGGTGGTGGTTGTGGTCGTGGTCGTGGTCGTGGTCGTGGTCGTGGTCGTGGTCGTGGTCGTGGTCGTGGTCGTGGTCGTGGTGGTCGTGGTGGTCGTGGTCGTGGTCGTGGTCGTGGTCGTGGTGGTCGTGGTGGTCGGGTGGTCGGGTGGTCGTGGTGGTCGTGGTGGTGGTGGTGGTGGTGGTGGTGGTGGTGGTGGCGGTGGTGGCGGTGGTGGTGGTGGTTATCAGTAGTTTTATTGCAACCTTTGTTGTTGTTATTAGTGGGTTTCGGATTCCGCCCGCTCTGGAAGTCTACGTCGCTTTTCGTGTCATTCTTCGGTGTTGTACTCGTCTTCATGCTGACTGATATCAGCCAGGCGGCCACAGATATGGCCGTAGGCCCCAGGTGTGTCGACGTCCTCTTGTGTAGATAGAGCAGAGGGTTGAGGGCGACACAGAAAAAGATCGTGGAACAAGATGGTCTTCCGCTCAAAACTGAACTCTGATCTCCTAAACTATAGACACCTACATCTGTAAACTCAAATGCCTTTACATCAGAATATACAAGTTGTGAACCCGACATTGCTTATTAAATCGATATCCTCCAACCTTAACTTCTGGTCTACACTATCAACTCCAGACCCCAGCCCTGAGGCCAACCGCTTTTCGAGAGATTTCTCCGAGCCCCGGCGTTCGCATGGTTGCTTCGGATGGGCCAAAGAGGCCATGATGAGGGTTTGGGGTAAGTGTGGGTGTAGGGGTTCAGGGTTCACAGCTTCAGGTTTAGGCCAGGAGACTCAATGTCAGGATGAGCATAGACGAGTAAGAGTTCTTTGACGTGCAATAGCAGCTTGTCAGTCACAGATGGGGGGGGTTGAGGTTCAGCATGTAGCATTGGGTATGGAACTGGTCAGGGCTCTGAGGTTGCGTGAACCTCTGGGTCACTACTGGGACCTGGGATGGATGTGTACATCTATATATATATATATGTATGTATATGTATGCATACATATGTATGCATGTGTACACATATGTATATGTCTGTGTATGTATAAATACGTAGGTATAGATATTTTATGTGTTTACATATGCATGTAGAAAATTTGGCATATGTAAAACAGTTATATATATATATATATATATATATCTATACATATATATATATATATATGCTTATGCATATATGTATATATATATATATATACACACATGTAAGGCTTAGGGTTCAGGGAGGGCCTACTGGAGCTTTGAGAGTTAGCGCAACCATGCGACCGTTCGCCTCCACAGCCTCCCTACAGTCACACTTGCATGCTTATTTGGGTAGGCCCTGGCCCCAAGCCCTAAACCACCAGAAGACTTCTGGTCCTTAACAAAGGGTAATTTAGGGTATTGTAGGAGCCTGATTAAGAAACCCTGGGCCTATACCCCCAACTAGTAGGATACATATAAGGAACCCTAACAAAGGCACGGCACAAGGTTTCTTAATCAGGTTCCTGCATTAGATCCTTCCTGGCACCTTGAATAGAAGCCCGGAGCCTTTAGTCCTTGATGTAGGGTACTTTAGGGTTGAATCGGTGGTAGCTTGGGGTCTGAGCCTAGGTATTCGTAGGGGTTCCGGACTCAGCGTTCTCGAATTAGGAGTCTTGGGAAGTTCTGTGTTCACATCCCCATAACCCATTTCCCCCATTGCCTAGTAAGCACCAGGGAGTCTTAGCAGTGTAGGTCACCTGATTCAAGGACACCCTTCGCGACCGTTGGATCCTTAATGACGAGGTCTGGGCTTTGGAGTACAGTAAAGGTTGGGTGGGTTTCCAGATCAGGGTACTTTGAAGTTTACAGCGGCCGCGAGGTCGATGCGCACGATGCCTCAAACTTGTTTCCCAGCATGCAACTTGAACATTCAACTTGCTCAAACATGTCAGGCGGTAAACCTTAAATCCCAAATCCTAAACCCTTTAGACCCTAAGCCCGAAGACTCCAACATCGAAGTTGACCCGAAGAGCCTGAGCTCAAAGAAACGGGAGGCGATCCCAGGCCCGACCCTGAACACAAAGACTGTGACGTGGAAACAAAAGTTTAACATATGGGCCTAAATACTATTTTGGGGGCTACTCAATATAAGTATAATATGAACCCTGGCGCCAGTCCAATTATCAAGGCCGCTGTGCTGCAGTACCTTTATGGATCCCTGATAGAACCCTTTACATTACCGTTAAAGGAGCCCAAAACCCTATTCTAATTATTAAGGCCCCTATATCAGGCGATCTATCCCATCCATGCTGCGGCTGCGCTTGGAGATGGAGAAGTGGTTCGGATGCTTCTCGCTGCACAGGCTGCGCTCTCATTCGCTTGGCTTAGGGTTCGGGTTGAGAAGGGCTTACCTTGACCCCATAAGGAAATCATATTAAGGAACTCCGAAAAGGGAAGGTTTAAAAGAACCGCACACCCTCGTCTCCAGTCCTCAACTGACTCCTCAGTCCTGGACTTCCGCAGAAAGCCCAAATCTCTATAGAAACCTCAATGGAGCCCTGAAGTATGGTCTCGACCCGACCCCCCCCAAGACAGTCGATTTATTGCGTTCTCGAGAGTAAAACCGATGGAGTTTCGTCTTTCTCTTTCTAGGCGAGTGGAAGCAGACAAGACCACTCAATAGTAGACCATAGAATCACTTATATAGTACACCTTGCTCTGGGATTTATA